TAAGCAGAACAGCAGCTATGAACGGAGTCAGGAATTTTTAGAAAATAACGCACTACACAGTCATAAGTAAAACGTTCATATTTATGCATAAAAATTTCAGGAAATAATTCTATGAGACCTGGGGGGATTCTAAAGACAGGACAGACCCCACAGAACAGCCGGGGTAGGGCAGTGATAGCAGTGAGGGCTCATGCTGTAGTCATAGGCAACCCCGCAACCAGTCAGGGCAAGAGTGGGAGGGGAAATGTCTGTATTGCTTTCTTTTTCAGCTTTATAAAACAACTACAGAGGCTAGCCCTCTAGGAAGCTAACTAAGACTAGCTCAAGTGACTTTCTCTCAGGAACTTTTGCTTTGAACCACTGTGGGGCACCGCCCTAGTTTACTCTTACCGGAAGATATTTTCTGGTCTAGAATAATGCATGCTTCCTTCTCGGATGCCACTGGGGAAGCCCATTTGTGCCTTTTCTCACTACACTATTAAGATTTCTCTTTCCAGTAAATTAAAAAAGAAGAGTAAGCAACTATTACTAACTGGCAGCCAAGAAACTTTTTAAAATTGAAAATCTACATTGTCCATCTTAAAATTTCTACTACTCTAAAATTATGAGAGTGTAAGACCATGCCTTATATCTTTACATCATCACAATAGCTAGGGTTATTTATGTACATAATTAGAGGTGAATGTGTCCTTTAAATCTGCCCCTCCTCCAGTTAAAGAGGCTTTTTCATATAGAACATCTGCCACACAAATGCAAATATGATAGAGGAACAGTGAGGATGGTTCTTATTCCACAGGGTAGGATGTAGATCTAGTACACAGCTTGGCTTTTCTGTTCATGCTTTATTCTAACTGAGGTTAGGAGAAATACAAATAATTGAATAACAACTTATAATTTAAAAGTTCATCTGAATTCGACTTTGATTCTGGTGGATCAGATGTCTCAATAGTGCTCGTGATCATTTTCCATCCACTCTTAACTCAAACCTCTATCTGGTGGGTTAGGATCTCACTAGGCAGAGGACTTGTGAACATGTTTCAGACTGAATAGCAGAAGTTGGCAAGAATAATCTTCTGGACAAATGGCAGAGGTGGGAGAAGGTGCTGGAATTAAGACTCAGGAACTGCTTTTGAGGCTATCTTTGCCACTGTATCACTTTTTAATCCTCGGGATATGCTTTTTTGATTTTCTTGCCTGGAGTTTTTTCTTGATAACTTAGATGAATGGCCTTAATGTCTAAATTTCCTGCTGGCACCGTAACTAAAACTCACATATAAATAAAATTGGGTGAACTTTGTATTGTGGCGGTATTATGCCAAAAGTGAAAGGAGCTTAAGTATGAATAATAACAATGGCTAAAAATGGATGAATTGATCAAATGTAGAAAATTAAAATCTCAAAGCAGTTCAGGAGCAAAAGTGGTAAAAAAAATAAATAGTTACATATTTTTAATTCAAGATTTTATTGTTTCTTTCTACAATTTATTTAAACATCTATTTCAAAGTTTTTGAGGAAAGTTCCCAGTTGCCTTGAATCTATGCAGATTTGATCCTAGGCATTTGAACTTGACGATTCAGTGATTTTTGAAATTCATATTTCAGTTATTCAAGTAAATGAATAGTGTCATTTGGTTATTTGATGTAATTTTAAAAACAGATTGGTCTTTGGAGAAACTGCTTCTGGGTATCAATACTAAAATGAAAACACTGGCTAAAGTCATAAAAGCAGGAAAATTAATTTCAGGGCATTGCGAGCCTCTCCTCCTTCCTGGGCTCACAAGGCTTCAGAAGATGAGAATTGCTCTCTGATGTCACTGTTCTCTGAAAGCTGATCCATTTAAATCCATATGGTGGACATCTTTGACTCACATACTGCTTACATTTTTCAATGCCTCAGAAAATAGAATTTTCCCCTTTTAATCCTCAAAAACAAACTCAAATAAATTGTTTGACCCACCTGCAGCTTCCTGGGAGGAACATAACTTTTTTATTCAATCCATAATTTCCTCTTATTCTAAAACCTACATGTTATTCCATTTTACTTTTCAATCCAAATCATTGTTACCGTCTTTAATTCTCAGCTGCGACAGTGGAGGACTGCTTGTTGCTGTTGTTGCTATATACCATAAAAAAAAAAAAAAACAGGAAAGAAATTTCTTATTTCTTCAATTCTCCGCTACAATCTACATCTTTGTTAATTTAGTAAGGAGTCAATGCGGTGCCATAGATTTTGCAAATCAAGAAACTTGGCTTTTACAAGCCTCCGCCAAGGAGAAAACGTCCTGCCTGCTGAACAATGAAAACCATGGCAAGGACACAAAATGTGAGTCTTACTGGTCTCTGACAGAGTCCCTGGTGACTTGGGGGGCAGGGGCTAAAAGGAGAGATCATGTGATGTAATTGCTTTTGGCTGGAGAAGTCCTAACACAGTGTCCAAGCATGGGGGAGTCAACAAGTAGTTTGTGGGCAGACTTCTGGTCTCTGCCTTTTCCCTGTACAGTTACAGCCTGGTATTTCCATGATTGCATTGATTCAATCCCCAGCTCAGCTTCCATCCTATACCAACAGCTTTGCTGTCTGCAAATATCTTTCTTACCCATACACATCCTTATTTCACAAAGGACACAAACCATTACAGTATTTTTATACTGAAAACAAGAGACAGTTATATGGAAGATCACCTGGGCAACTCTCCTTGAAGGAGGAGCAATTGTCTCCCTTTTGGCTGAACCTGGCCCTATTTCCATGTATTAATACGTACAGAACTAGCTAAGACGTTTCCTTATCCCTTCAATTGGCTTTAACCAATGCATATTGGTCTAGCTGTGTAGTCTCTGAAGACGACAGGCAGTGTTTCCTCCGACCCCTCCATTGTCCCCTTGTGCAAGCCGGGATGAGGCAGGATGAAGAGCCAGTGCTCCATGCTGTTGGCTGGGATTGAGCCATGAGATAGAGGTTATGACCTCCCAGGGCTTGAAAGATTATGTGTCAGAGTTGAAGCCTGACCCCAAAACGTTAGATACTATTTCAACTGAGTTATGCAGATTACTCTTTCTGCATATCCTTCTCTCTACATATGGCAGAGGTGACTTCAGGCCTCCTACCTAGCCCAGCTCATGGCACTCACGTACTTCCCATGGTTCTCACAGTCACTCATTCTCAAGCCACTCCCTTCTTCACACATGGATAAAATCTTGGTTCAGCTCTGAGTTAAGGCTTTGGTCCTGGATGGCCATCATCATGGCTGGACTTAGGACTCCTCCCCACAACTACAAATATGCCTTCCTGTCTTTATTCGTGCCATGGGTTGCACTGGAAGTGGAAGATTGGAATTAACTTGATAGAATTCCAATAATTTTTCCATGGGATTACAAATATAAACTTCCTGGGCTGTGACCAGGAACAGGAAGGACTCTGTTTACAGTGTAGGATATATAATATTATCGTGTACTCTTGAATTCTTGGTTTATGCTTTGTCCATCCATGCAGATGAAATATTTGCACCAAGCTAATTGCTACACATCCTGAGACCTGGTCATGCCTCGAATGCTCTACAAAGCCTCTGACTATGTCATCTCTGAGCTTCCCAAGTTAGCTGGGTCACCTCTAATGAAGCTTTCAATAGGTGATTGCTGGCTAAATTCTGTCCCCCTTCCTCAAATTTGCATTTTGAAGTGCCAGCCCCCAATGTCTTAGAAAATAACTGGTTTTTACTTTAAAGACGCAAGTTACAACGAGGCCACTAAGGACAGAGCCAAATCCAGCACGATTGTCATCCTTGCAAAAGAAAGGGAGACAAATCAGAGGTGTGGGACATGGCAAGAAGGCACCATTTGCAAGCCAAGGAGAAAGGCTTCAGAAGAAACCAAGTCTTAAGCTTGCTGGGCTTTATCTGGGTATTCCAACCTCTGGAACTATTGGAGAATGACTTTTATTGTTTAAGCCACACACTCTTTGGTACTTAATAATGGCAGCCCTAGAAAACTAATACACAGTCCTACAAATTGCTATCTTAGCTATCTATATTACAGACACACTTAAAAAGAATCTGTCTTTCACTTCTCTATTCATAAAACCTAGCAGAGCATCTGGCACATGTGAAGAAATGTTTGTTGAATGAATAATGAAAGAAAAATCTACCTGACTCGTGATCATCTAATTACTTGCTCCCTTATTTTCCTCCCTATATATATCCATCCTTTTCTGTCTCAACACTGTTGGTTTGAACACTTGTCTCTGCCTCACACCTAAGTCTTTAATGCTGCTAGCTCTATTTTTACTGTCCAGAAATTTCATATAGGATGTCAGTTATATCTGGAACCATTGTCCTTACACTGGGCACACACAGAAGTTGACCTTTGTGGTTTTGCACCATGGCACTCTGCTCAACCAACAGATGCCAGTTTACACAAACACAAAGAGCAGAACCATGTCATACATGGCCCTTTACTACCGGGCTAGGAACTCAACCTCAAGGAGCTGAAATGTTCTGAAAAATAGACTGTTTTGATTTCCTTTCTCAAAGAGGTGATCAAAACAAGAGAGGAGATAGCTCACACACTGACCAAGTAAATGTCAGAAAAGGATGGGCAGAGCTAGAAACTGCCTCACATGCTGAAGTAATTACCCCCATAAAACCCTCTTATGCCCAGATTTTTCTTTATTTTTAACCGGTTATGGACACCTACATTTATGTGAATACAACATGACTATACCTTCAAATATTTCCTTTTAGCATTACTCACAGTTCAAATCTATGGGGCCCCAGTGAATTCTGAGCAAAGAAGAGTTCTGGACTGAATATGTACACATGCATAAAGCCTACATTTGTGGGGTTTTTTTGAAGCTCCAACAATCTTGAGTTTATTGAAACACTAGACATTCTCATTGTTCCATAGATTGCCCAGCAAAAATGCATCTTTCTCTCGATGGACTCCTTTCTCCATCAGTTTCTATAAGAGTGAGCTCCTTTTTATCAAAACATTTCATAGAAATTGCTTCCTACCTGATTAATGATTTACATGGTTTGCAAAACAGAAGGCAGCTGTGTGTTGCACACTTCATCTCAGGCAATAAATTGTCATGGGGCCATCTTTCTTGTTCCTTCCATCTAGTTTGTTGTGTCTTATACACAGACTCCTGAGAAATTCTTTCTGCCTGTGTAGAAAATCCATGACTTTCTTCTTCTAAGGCATTGATGGTTTGTAGCACAAAGGGAGTCCTTTCTCGAGGAAGAGGGTTGTTCAGGGGCTGCATGGGTATAATGGAATTGTATTTGTGTTGCCTGTCCACAGAATTCATTAGAGATGTATAGAATTGGAAATTACACCAAGTATTTCTCAAAAAGTTTTCAGTAAGTAATAAGATTGTCCATGCAGACCCATTTATGGAATCATCCAAATTCTGTAAATGCTGCCTGCCACGCAGCATTTCAGCAAAGATTATCCTAAGCTTGATACCAAAGTCATTTTGTAGCAGTTCCTGGACTCTCAGGGTCTCACATATATCATCTTCTGCGTGTAGGATCACAAATTTGAGGAACACCTCTTCTGCTTCCCTTTTGGGAATCTCTTCTCCCACTTTGGCTTCCTCTTGTTCCCCTGTCTGCTCCTCTGCTGTATTGTTCTGTTCCCCAACATTGCACAAGGAGACAGCTTCAGGCTTCATGCGCTTAGGCTCCAGATGGCCTTGACTTGTAGCCATGCTGCGACTCTTACCCCAGGAGAAACAAAGAGAGAGGGTGTGTGTTTTAGACTTCCCAATACCCATGATATACAACCAAGACTGAACAAGGAAGTTCTACTTATTTCTAAGCATTGCTTTTCAATCTCTTGCCTGAATTTCCAGCTTGGCAGTCTGCCCTGCATATTGCAGGCTTGCCAGCCTCCACAATCCTGGGAGGGGATTCCTTGGATGTTTGCTGCCGGTTCTGAGGTTTCTTTCAAAATCTCGTTTTGTAGTCAAAATACAACACGAGAAAGGCAGGTGCTGGCTCTCCCTTCGGGTTAAGGGAAGCCACGAAAGGAGCTGGACCTGCGCAGTCCGCTGGCGGTCACCAGGGTCAGGTCCCCCGCACCCCCAGCGCTCCAGCCTCTGTCTGCTACATTTGTTTTTATATGTACCTGCTCTCCATCTGACTCTGTCATTGTTGCTGAAGAAACATTATGTTGAAATGAAATGATGTTTTATGGGGTGAGTCCTCTTATGAAAGGTAGCTTTGTTCTGAAGGCAGAAGATTCAGCATAACCTAGGCTCTGGATATTGGTTAGCAAAGTTTATACTGAACATTGTTTAAATCCAGTGTTGGGAGGAATATTTCCTCCTAGAACCTGATTTATTTTAATAACTAGTCATTTTATTCCCAGGTCCCATTTTATTTTATGTGTAAAAAAATCCCAACTGAAATAGTAAATCTAACAATTATGGATCATTTTCCATAAATAGAGATGTTTAAGGGTATAGAGTTTCTTAATGTTTTAATAATACTGAAATACTCTAGGCTAATTTGCTTTGCCAGTTCTCTTTGCTTCTCAAAGAAGTGTAATAAAGCCAACTCTACACTGAAAAGAAGAAATGTTTCAAGTTTTAGCACCGGATGCCTTCTGATGAGAATTTAAGAATAATGCTCTCCTCTATGATTTAGATAATGATGAGAATCCTTCAGTAAATTTCCAGGACTACTACTTCTAGAGACTCAATTAGGTAAACCCCATATTAAATGTCAAATATGTGCAAAGTAGGATGCAAATTCCTTAAGAACCATAATGGATAAAAATCTTTAAAATGTCTCTACTCTGAAAGAGTTTACAACAAAATTGAAGACAAAAATTGAATCATGATTGCTATAGCTTGGGTGTCGTTTGTTCCCCTAGGGCTCACGTGCCAGGACCTTGGCCCCCCATATGGTGATATGAGAGGTGGTAAAACCTTTAAGAGGTGATCCCTACTAAATGGTGATTAGGTCACTGGAATGTTCTCTTGGAGGGAATTAATAGTAGTTATCATGGAACCCCAGGACCTCAACTAGGTCCCAGGAAGGTAGGTTATTATAAAAAGAGTAAGCCTAGCTACCACCCCCAGTCTCTGGCTCCCTGTCTATCCATGTGATCTCATGCACATGTCCTCCTTCCATTGTGAAGCTCTTTGCCATGAACCCTCACCAGAGCCACAGAAGCAAGTATAATGCTTTGGGAGGTCCAGAACAAATTTACCCAGCCTCAGGTATTTTGCTATAGTGATGGAAAATTTACTCATATAATAACCAAACTTTTAATCAAGCTAAATAAAAGTATATTATTTCAGTAACAGATTTAAATAAAGAAGTATTGGCTCTCACAGGCTGTCCATGGTTAATCACCAGAAAAATTTTATATACAGGAAGTGCTTAGACCTTGGAGAGGGTAAGTTTCAGAAGGCATCTTTCAAGACTGGCAGATTTCAGAGACACAAAACAAACTCACCCAGATCACTACAGATTTTCGTGTCAGGCAGGTCTGAGCTCAGCCCCACCTCAGATGGTCTGGGGCAAGTCTCTTTCCAGCTACGCACAAGGAAATAGAAATAATAAACTCATCCTTCTGAGTTTTTCTGAGGGGTAAGTAAAAGCTAAGTCTGGTCTTTACATTGAGCTACAGATACATTAGCATTTATTATACAGTATATTATCTACTGATTTGGCTTTTACTTTATTGTCTGTTTCTCCTAGTCAAAAAGTAAACTTGTGGAGGGTATAGACCTAGTATTATTTTACTTTGTATCCACAGTATCTATATTATTATCTCGCACCCAATAGTTACCAACTGCATATATTTGCAATGAAAAAAAATCAATGAATAATTAACATAAAAAAGTAGAGTCGCTCATATTATGGTTCAATAATGTATTTTTGTATTTTTTCCTATCTCTCTCCATTTTTTTAACATTATAAGCAACAGGTACTATAGTAACCAACAGACTAAGTTCCAAATAAGTGAGATCATTTTGTGTTTTAGAGTTATCCTTAGGAGTTATGGTCACTAGAACTTGAATTATTTGCCTTGAGCAGAATAGACAATGGAGTGGGGAAAAAGTTTGTCTTCCCATTTCTTTCTCTCCCATCCTCTCCTTCTTGTTAGCCTCTGGCCATGCCTGGTCCCTTTGTTCTCCTCTCATCTATCAGTATCTAAACACAAACAAACAAACACCTAAATAAACAACAAAAAATCCACAGACAAATCATGGAGAGGAAAAATGTTTTTCCAGGTAGACCTAATTCCTACAGACAGCAGGTTAGAATGATGCCTCCGCCTTTTCTAGTCCACCTCAATGCCCTATTTCTAAGGCCAGGAATAGTGAATTAGCCAAAGGAAGCCAAATGAAGCACAGTGATTAGTAGCTGCTATGTTTTCCATGATACCAGGTCAAGTGACAAAGGCTTTCTGCTGTTAAGTCACTTGGCATTACGCAAAAGCCACTATCATTGCCATCAGGGACAGGCTTATTTTGACCTAATTTTCTGTTCCATTACAATTTTGTGATCTAAACTAAATTTGGTTTGTTTTAAGAATGTGGACCAGGGTTTACATCACTGACCCTGGGAGGGAGAGTCAACAACTAACATTTTATCATCCCATGATGGTGTGTGACCAGCTAAAAAATCTCATTAAAGTCTTATTTGCAGGAAGTGGTCTCCTTTATAGCTCCCCACTTGGTAGTATGTTTGTTACTAGTGCAGAGGGGAGGTAAAGCAAGTCAAAGAATGTCAACTTTGGTGCATCCTTCCAGGCCACAGATTGCTAACACCTCATCGTACTGCTCCTGTGTGACACAAAGCTCTGATCCATGGTCACTTTTAACCTCAGATTAAATCCCGTCCCCAGACCTGCAAAACCCATTATTGCCTAAAAAAAAGCCAGAATTACTGAATATTTTTCTTTCTTCTGACTTATAACTTATGTCATCAACCACGTAAAGGGAAAGAACAATGTGCAAAGTATTGTCTGGGGTTTCTCAGCCCTTCTAAGATATTTTCATGGTGAGTTCTCAGTTTAAAATTTGTTTCATCAGAGGATTTTGATGTCCTTATGTGAGAGATGTTCCAGAGCTTCAAATAAATAAAATCCAAATATCTGAAGAACATCTTGTGGGAAAGTTGGTTAGAAAACTTGGTGGTTTTTGTTTTCATGTGAAAAACATTACAGAATTTATAAAAGAGTCTTTCTGGACTTTGTACAAATTATTTTTATATATTATATATGCAATATGCTATATATATATATATATATATTTTAATAATAGTCAAGATCCTGGTAAGAACAGAATTCACCTTGGAAATTTCCAGCAAAGATAGTTTTATAAATGGATTCTGAAGGAGTTTTATAAATGGATATTTACAGAGGTGCAGTCAGTGTACAGGAACAAAGAAAAAATGTTCAGGCCCCTAAAGACAGCAGTGGGAAGCTGTTAGTACATTTAGGCCTAAAATACAAGGGGAGGAAATAGTGCTATTTAAAGCTAGCAAAACCTAATGAAGACCACAGCCATTGCCAAAGACCTTCCCAAAAAAGTAAGGGACCCAGGAAGAAACAGTCTGAATGTTCCTGGCTTTTCAACTCTGATCTCGTACCAATACTCATCGGCAAAACTGAACTGGAAGCCGGCGACAAGGGAACCTCCACGATACAGCCCATAGGGGTCGCTATCACAGGTGGTAGAGCTGGTTGGAGAAGGGCAGAATATTAATTTGCTAAGGATTGCGTTCTTTATTTGCAATGATCTTGCTTGTTTTTTAAACTAGTATTTATGATACATTTGCAGTCATTTATCCAAGCTCTTCTTCTAGTCTAACATCGTTTTCGATTCTGATTTGCACTTATAATCTGAACCCTGAACAGAGCTTCTCCCTCTACAATATAAATTTGTCTTTATTGGGATTAATTCTGATCTCTGTATCAACCAAATGAATTCTAAAGTTACAAAAACTCAGAAGGTTTTACCCTTCCTTTACCCTTGCGAATTTTTGAGTTCATAATCTCTTGGCTTGCTACATTTTCATTCTTTGAAGGACATTAAAAGATTTTACTTTCATTATCTCATAGATCTTTACCATATCTCTGTCGGATAGGTATATTAGTATAGTACCTAGTACAGTAATGCACGAAAATAGACGCTTAATAAATGTTTGTGGATGAGATGATCACCATCAAATGTCCCTTGAGCAGGTAGGAGAGCTCATATGGAAAAGTTAAGCAATTTAGCCAATCTCTCAGGGTGTACCACTAGGAATAAAAGCCAAGGCAGAAGGCTTACTCTGACTATGCTATATCCAAGCAGAGATTTTGCTAAACAAGGTAAAAATTTCAACAAGAGTTTCATTTTCTTCTGTACTTTGACCCAATCTTAAGAACACTTGAGATATTCAGGGCATGGTTTTTCAACTGATCCATTTCCTAGATTATCAGAGAAAGGTATGCCCCATCATTTCTTCTTAATCATTATACATGACATGTTGTAATAAGCAAGCAAAAAATGAGTTAAATACTTAGAACAACTGAACTGAACTATAATGGTTTCTCATTTCTCGGGTGGAGGAAAAATGCATAAAGAAAAGATTGCACCTGAGAATTGCATGTTACAGCAACTCTTTCTTATCAGTGAAAATGAAGGATAAAAAACACCTGAAAAATTAAATGCATGTGGTTTTAAAATCTCTGCAGATTACAAAACCATCTTCA